ATATGCAAATATCTGATAATTCCCATCTAGATTTCAAATTTTTTTTTCGAGTGTGATGGTGCTGATGTGCTTTTAGAAGAATGAAGTATTACATTTGAAAGATAATTGTTTTTTCTTTTAGGGCAAAATAAGTTGTATGAATGGTAAACTTGCCCTACACATTATTAAAGTATTATGGAATTAAAATAGGTATAGCATTTAAATGGTAATGAGCTTTAGAAACAAACACCTCTTTCTGTGGGAAATTATCTTAACCGAGGCTGTTTTCTCCCTTAGCAAGTCTATAATTTTGCCAAAAGGAAAAGAAACTCCACGGACTCAAGTGCAGGCACAAGGAGAATAAATAGCTAAAATGTAACAGCTCCAGGATCACACGTTGCTGGTAATTATTCTGCTGCTGCCGAGGAAGAAAGCAATAAAGGAAAGATACAGAGGAGAGTTTCAGGGCGAGCTTGTACTTATTAATTCTTTTCGGGCCTCAAATGACAACCCCACTCTGTTTGCGGCACCGTACCTTGTAGAGAAGGAAGTAAAAGACAAATGGAGTCCCGTTCTAAGGAGCAGTTCTCCGGCCGGTGGCCACCGCTCGGTGGGGTCAAACCACAGCTGACAGTGGATTCGACTTCACGTTTCAGTATGAAGCTGGAACGTGTGCTGTGTTTCCAGGTGACGCACAGGCTAAAGCGAAGAGGAGCTTGAGAGAAGCGAAGATCCAGGGGACACGTGGACGGGCTCAGCTCGTTCCATCGGGCTTCGCGGACACCGAGTCTGTTACAAACTGAAGGTTAGGGGTGACCCCGCGTCAGCTCGTCCATCGGCACTGTCTTCCTGACAGCGTTCGCTCGCTGCGTGTCCATCACACTGTGGCAACTCTTGCAACGTTGCAGACACTTTCACGATTCTCCCATGTGTTACGGTGATCTGTGGTCTTTGACGTTACTATTGTAGTTATTTTGGGGTGCCACATGCCACCATACAACGTGACGAACGTATTGTGTTGCATCCCCCCGGAACCTTCTTAAAAAGCAAGTTTGGAATGTCCTGGGAAATAAATATGGCAGAACATCACACAACTTTGCATCCATTCAAAGGTCTCCCAGGTTATGCAGGTATAACACCTTGTTGGCATTTAAAGGGACCACGCTCCCCTTCGGCTTGCATAGGGAAGTGTATCAGAGGCGATGTGCGCACAGTAGGTCTCCCATGGTGGCTGGTGGTTGTGAGCAACAAGCACATCTCTGGTGAAACTTCCGGTGACCGGGTATGTCCCACTGAGCCAGAATGGCCCCCAAAATCATCGGCTTCCTGCTGCCGGCTTACCCCCCCGGGGAGGAGGCCGAAGGTCGCCCACGAGCGGAACAGACCTGCTCGGCCAGGGAGGCAGCAACCATGAGCCAGCGCTCTTCAGAGGAAACAGCTCCCCACTGGCCTCTCGCCTCGTGTTCTATAAATCCCTGGGTTTAACACCGGAATATTCCGGGCGCACTTTTGAAAACCTGATCTGAGGAGAGCTTAAGGAAAGGAAAGCGAAACTCCACAGAACGCGCGCCGTCAGCCTTTCATAAAAGGTTCACGAGGCGTAGGTCTCACCCGGGATTACCTCCCTGTCAGGTAACAGTGTTGGTTTGGAAAAGCATCACAGAACTGGAAGGCAGCAACAGGGCGCCTGCAGAGGGTGCGTTGGGAAGAGGGTTGTGTCCTCAGAGGGGCTGGGAATGAGGCCTGCTGCTGGCGTGCAGTATGAACTTCTCTCGACGCCTCTCCGTCCTGCAGATGCTGGGGTAGGTCTCGCACATGCTCCCCACGGCGACCTCTGTAAGTGACCTCCACGTGGGATCGGTGGGCAGCTCTGTGGGGGGATCCCGACAGCTCCCTGCTCCGGAGGCTCGTGCACCCCTGGTTCCAGGACTTTTCACAGAACCATCTCCCCTCTGTCTTCCCATGAAGCCGCCTCCCGGCCCAGGAGGCCCTGGCTGGGCCGGTGCTTGAGAAGTGAGACGGGGATGCCGCCAGGACCGGGACAGAGCGAGATCGTCCACATGTGATCCACCCTACCACTCCCTCACTTCCGTGGGCAAAGGTTCCCAGGTCCTACGCAGGCTTAGAAGAGGCTCCTGTGCCTCAGGGTTCGAGGACTCTGTGCTAGGGCGCCGCAGGTTTGTCCCCGCCAGGATGCCTTATCAGAGTCCTAATCTCGCAGTTGCTAGTTGTCCCAATTCCTGTTAACACATTGCGTACCGCATAGAAACCTCTAAGACATACGCCAGGGACCGCACGTTTTTGGGCAAACTGCATGTTATTTAAATCATCATAATGCACTTTAGGTGTTGTTTTTCAATAATTGTAACATTTTTATTTACAAAAACAATTAAACAATTAAAGTTCCTAGTACTTTTTTTACATAAGTATCTAGATTCGCTCCTTTTTCCATGGGCGTGAAAAACGAGAACACTCGTGAGCGGTCCTTAACAGATGGCGCGCGAAACACGAGAAAACTGCTGAGCGGTACGAAATGTGTTAAATTGGTTCGAGAAATCTGTCTCTGATCATGTGCAAGACCTGGAAATGGACAAACTTAACAAAAACATGCCGGATGCCCCTGGTACCCAAAACAGAAGTTCCTATGGGAACTTTCAGGAGCCGAAATGCCACAGAAAATAACTACCACTCAGCCACGTGGAAAAGCTGTTGAGCGTCCCCAAAATAACGTAGGAAACCACGCCAAACAGCACGTCAGACCTACACCAACACTCACAGGGAGGGCAGAAAGGACACGAGGAGTTCTCGGCGGGCCGCTGACCTGCGCAGGCGTGGCTGCCGCAAAACCACGCTACACGTGATTTTCTCTTTTTGCCATTTTTTGGGTCAAATAAAAACTCTCTTCAGATGTCTTTCCATTAGTGCCCGTTGATCTAGGTCTCTCGTCAACGCAAACTGGCATCACGTGGACTTCTGAGAAGTGGGGTACGGCATCTCGGAACGTTTCGTTTTTGTTCAAGTGCCTCGCACTTTGCACGATGCCTGTTTTGGCTGCACAGGAAGATGCTGTGGCGAATGCCCCCTGTCACACAGGGCCTCTGAGGACAACTCATGCCGATAAACGTGTAAAACCACCGGAATGAGGAGCCCCCCAGGAGCCCGGAATTTTCCGTTCTGATTGTGCTGCAGGCGGGCCTGGGGGGCCTGGGTGGGGGGCTGTAGGAGGAGGCCAGGTGGCTCCCGCTCTGGGGAGGGAGAGGGGCTCAGGGGCAGACAGAGTCCCTGCAGGTTGTGTAAACCCCAAATGGACGAGGACAATAGTGTGGTGACTGCGGGGGTGGAGGGGGGTGGGCGGAGGTGGAAGAGGGGATAGAGGGGATAAAGGGTGATGGAAATCATAAAATAAAAATGTTAAACATTTTTTAAATATTAAAAAATAAATTAAAAACTAAGTACAAGACTGGGCTGCAAGATGTACGACACTTCCGAATAAAAGCTGTCGCCAAAAGCATTGAGATTATGTGAGGAAACGAGGAAAAAAAATCCTTGAATCTCCAGATCTGCACCAACATTTACATTAAGGACAAAGGATTTAGGGTGGACACTGGGGGATCAGTTCCATGTTTCCGCTGAGTTTCTGCGTTTACCCAGGAGGACACGGGGCTCCTGCCTGGGAACTGGATGGTGGGGAACATCCCGCCCTCCTACATCGACCTCTTTCCAGCTAAGATAGAATTCGGTCTAAGAAAAGGACAGAGTGGGCACTTACGTATAACGGAAGCTCACACACTAGACCCCGAGACGGTTTTCCTGTTTAGTGCACAGATTTATCCGGACTTTGGGGCCATAACAATCCGTTACACAAGGTAAAGATGCAGAGGAGGCTTCGAGTGGAGGATGCACAGTTACCCGGGGAGAGCACGGAACGTGAACTTGGAAACTGTTCCACAGGGACTGAGGTGCTCCCTCCAAACACGGCAGCCTCCGGAGCCCTAATTAGCGGTTCTAATGAGTCTAGTTTGGAACCACGTCCTTCTGAATCGAACACAAGTGCATTTTTAAAGGCTGTAAGCCGTACCTTTAACTCTCTCTGGGCCTGTGTTCCCTCAGACTGAGTGAACGAGGCTTGAGAAAAAATGAGCATCGACGGAACGCCCTTGAAGAGACGCCCAGCTGTGGCCCGCGGGCCGAAGGTACCTCAAGCCCCGTACCGTTGACCCACACTGTTCAATCAATTTGGGGAAATGTGCCAACCTACCGTTTCCAGCTTTCCTGAAAAACCCACAGATCCGCTTTCTCATGGCAATGACCAGCTGGGCCTGAGCAGTGTGGAAACCCTCTGGGAGGAGACAGGCCGCTGCTGTGTGGCATTGGACAAGTTACTCACCTGCTCTGAGCCCCTGCCTGCCGACGCAGAATGCCAGCCGTATCCTGTCCTGGGTGCTGTGAGCCAAAACCCCGCATCCGGCTGAAAAACGGCACCTACTACATCAAGACGGGGCAATCTGTCCCAGCAAACCCACCTCTCCATGTCTTGGGGCACACTCGGCCCTGGGGACGGAATTCCTTCTACGTTTCTATGTTCTGCACGCACAGCTCAGTGATGTCACTGGGAGCACTGGGCTGTGGGGGGTGGCACGGTCAACAAATACCGACTCAAACACATTTCCATCAAGTTTATCAGCAAAGCTCTCAGCGTCTCCTCAACTCAGTACTAAGACGAGGTAAGTAAAGGGCCATCTTTAGTAACACAGACATGAAGCATCTCCCACACATCAGCAGGTATTGGACGAGTCAACCAATGAATGAATAAAACGATGGATGGATAAATAAAGAAAAAAGGCCTGGCCGGCGTGGCTCAGTGGTTGAGCGTCGACCTATGACCCGGGAGGTCACGGTTTGGTGCCTGGCCAGGGCACATGCCCGGGCTGCGGCTCATGTGTGGATGCGGTAACGGCACACAGGCGGCAGGCCATGCCCAGAAAGGGACCCGATAAAGAGCAAAAGCGGGTGCGTCTTACCTCCAGCGTGAGGCGGGGGGCCGCACAGCAGGACCACGCCCTGGCCTTCGCGCACCGACACCGCGCTTCGCATTCTGGTTTTAAAGTTTTCAAGATCTGTTTTGAAAACAAAACAAAACAGCACTTCAGAAAGAATGTCCGCGCAGTGACCTCCTTTCTTTTGTAGGGTGACATTTAAAACCAATACCGACCCGCTAATCCTGTGTTTCTATAATCGCGTCAGACACAGCTGGGCTGCCCCAAAGGGCAAACGGAGCAGGTGTGAGCATTAAATCACCGGGAAAGGGGACCCAGAGGATGAAACGAAACATCTGCGACCAAGTATCTACATGGCCTGGTCCCCACACCGGTCACAGCGATTCACCAAATCACGACCACCTTTAGCTTCTCCTGGCAACGAGCCAACTCTTCATACAGTTTCCCGCTAAGATGTGTCATCATCAGGAGCACAAATGAATGTCATTCCACCTGTGACTGGTGGTGCGATTTATACACAGCGTTGAAAATATTCCACTCATGGTTACGAGTCCTCTCGGCCCCACGTCTTGGGGAATTCTGTGGGGGTGATTCCTGGGTGGTTACCGAGTGGGGGGAGTTCGCAGGAGAGCAGTGAATTACCTCGCACAGTCCCCTTGACTGGCAGCTCTGAACAAACAGAAGCTGTCCAAGGAATGTCCTTCCGGTGGGTCATGAAGCCATCGAGGCAAACGCTATTTTGATCGCCTTAGTGGGTTATTTTTAAAACATTTAATTTCCTCCAAGAACAATCAGGACAGCAAATCCCGACGCACAGCCTCCAGCTTAAACCGCTCGGGGAAAATCCGACTGGTTTTATTTTGAGCAAAGCTGAGGCCTACGGGGGGAAGGGAAGGAAAATAATTTACCCCTTCGCGCAAGTCTCACTGAAAAGGAGGTGACTTCTACGGGCACAGTCGATGGTGTCACATTCCGTATCCGGGCGACTGCACTGTTGATTTGTGGGAAAATACACCCGTTTCACGGTTCCTGATGGTGGAGGCAGACCGTCCACGCGGCGACTAGGCAGAGGAGGCAGTGTGTGTATTTGAGGGGGTAACTGAGAAAATTTCAACTCTGCCTTGAAAAATGTAAAAGGCAAAATAATTATCTTTGAATTGGTGAAACTACAAACTGTGTACTAGCACATGTTGACTGTTCTACGCACTTTAAATCTGTGCATCAGCCCTGGCCTGTGAATCTCAGTGGTTAGAGCATCGGCCCGGGCATCAAAAGGTTGTGGGTTCGATTCCCAGTCAAGGGCATGTACCTGGGTTGCAGTTTGCTCCCCAGCCCCAGTCAGGGTGCATGCGGGAGGCAACCAGTCGATGTGTCTCTCTCACCTCAATGTTTTTTCTCTCTCTCTTTCCCTCCCTTCCACTCTCTCTTAAAAGCAATGGAAGAAATATCCTCAGGTGAGGGTTAATAAAAAAGTAATCGGTACATCCGAGGGGAATGAGAGAAGTGCTTCATTTCATTATCCCTGAACGAGTATTACATTGCTGGTTTCAAGCATGGAGCAAAGCAAATCAGCAAAGCTTACATATACGTGGCTATAAAAGGAGCCAGAATGTGTTCTAGACTTACTGTAACCAGAGGTCCCCTGCAAAAATGATACGATAACCGAGCATTACGTCCCCTTAAATGTGTGAGTAAAGTGCAATATTATCACAGCGCAAGGCTCCTGAAATGCAGCTCAGTTAGCACTGCCAAACCGCACCCTCCGACGGGTCCAGGCTAAGATGGGGTAGGGGAGGGGGTGGGGATAGGGGCGGAATACCAGGATGAGCCCACACGTGGACAATAACCAAACGGTGCCTTTCTGACCACCCATGGGTGTCAGTCTTGCTGCTCTCCTGCCCAATTCCTGTTCCCGCAGTTATATAACTTCACACCGTGGAAGGGAGTCATCGCTGATTTCGGCCAGAATACGCAAAAAGGATGAAATAGTTCTAGAACAGTCTCCTCTCTCTGAAAGTAAGAACCTTTTTCCCGCAGCACCAGTCAGTCCTGCCGGGCACAGGTGTGACCACTGCTCAGGATGCTGCATTGGTGCTGCCTCTATAGCCTGTGAAGACAGGGGCATTATCTGTGGGGCCCGACGTGGCTGGTTCACAGAGCACACGCTTCCACACGCATCCACATGCACCCACACAGCGAGAAGTGGATGGTGTTGGCTTCAACATGCTTCCTATGGCTCTGCTCCCAGATTCTTAGTTGATGTCACCCAGGGTGTGGTCCAGGGCCCCGGCCTCGTTACCGCCTGGGAGTCTCATTGCAAATGTAGCTAACTGTAGACCACCTGTGCACCAGGCTGCATCAGAAATAGTTTTTATTATTTAAAAATTTTTTATTGATTTCAGAGAGGAAAGGAGAGGGAGAGAGATATAGAAACATCAGTGATGAGAGAGAATCATTGATTGGCTGCCTCCTGCACGCCCCACACTGGGGATCGAGCCCCCAACTAGGGCATGTGCCCTGACGGGGAATCAAACCATAACCTCCTGGTTCATAGGTCGACTAGAAACAAAGGTCTCCAGGGGCATCAGAGGTTTGGGAGAACCCAGCGCACCTGCGTGAAAGCTGTATTTTAAAAGCCAGTTTGGTTTTAACAGGGCCATGGGAAAAGCCGGTGTTCTTAGACAAGACCCACGGAACCTTCTATTTCAAAGCCTCCCCGTGGAGCTGGGGGTACAGCCGGGGAGCCCTAATAATCGCTTCCCCACACACACCCTGGAGCCTTCCACTCTGACACAGCCACGCGCCAACTGGGCACTGAAGAGCTCTCCTCAGGTGACAAGGTCCTGAGCCTGGGAACAGATCACACCACCTCAGTGCAGGTATCTTAATTACGGTCACAAACACTTTTTAAAACCCTTTTAACGGCCTCGGCCTTGAAGAAAATGTCGCAGCGGCACCTTCAGCCAGGAAGTGGGGGCCGGACAGCCTGCCCTTGTGTCTGTTACTAAAACTGCGGTGGGATTCTGTGCAAATGTCTCAGACCCTGGGAGATGCTTCCTCTTATGCAAATGCGGGTTCTCCTGCACCTGAGTGAGCAGCCTGCAGGGGCGGGAGAAGAGGGGAGAAGGGGGGCGGGGTGGGGGGGCAGGAGAGGACACACCAGTGCTCAGTAGGCCTCAGGCCAGGTGAGCCTTCCCCCCACCCCACCTACCACCTGTGTCATTCACCTCCTGCAAAGTCCCTTCTGAGGCTTCAGCTCCTTTTATCTAACTTAACCTCTTGCATTTGGTGGGCACTCCCTCCCCCTGGGAACCTCAGCATGTCTACTGCGCTTGCCCTGCAATTAGCAGAGCAGTTGCGCAGTAATATTTGCTGAATTCCATGCATAAAATGAGTCTAAAAGCTCCTGATCTTTGTGCTCTGGGGTTTGGCTGAGTGTATCAGTCAGGGGGACCGTTAATAAATTTCATGGAACAGTTGCCTTTAAGACCTGTGATTTTAACGATGACTATTCGTTGTTGCATTATACCCTTGCTTTTATCTGTCACAGGAATATGAAAAGTAAAAACACACTAGCAAAGCCAGGACTCTCCTAGCACTACAGGAAACAGCATCAAATATGGCATCCTTACCCTTGTTTACAAATAGTTTATTATTGAAGGAGTCCGGCCCCTCACCAGCCCATTTGCAGACCGGCAGGCTGGCTCACTGCGGGTGAAGGGGGAGGAGGAGGCCTATGGGCTGACATTTAAGAGCACCTTGGTTACAAAGAAAGAAGCTGATTGGCTTTATTTTTCTTTAATTATGTGATCATTTCATACTGAAAAGGCTCATCAAAATAAGAGAGAAACATCAAGGATTACTTAGGAATTGTCGAAAAAAAGTACTCCCTTAATTCAAGTGACATGGAGATTTTTTTAAAAGGATTGAAATGACTTCCCATGCACGAGCCTCTACAGATACACAGCTTTTAACCGATTTTCAAAAGAAACCCGTGAGACAGGTCACGTGTGTTCTCCTTCCTCCCAATTTCACCAAAACCAAAGAGAACTGGGACTTTGCCCAAAGCCACGCTGCTCGTGGGGAGTCAGCCCCGGGCTGATGGTCCCCTACCCCCACCCCCCACCCCCGATTCCTAACTTGGAGAGAGAAACATCACATCCAATGGACATTGAAGCCTCTCACTGCCTTCAGTCTGCAGAAACTTGGCCTTAGAAAAAAATGCTGAAAAGGATGCTATTTGCCCAATTTGAAAGTCATATTTACCGAACATTATTCTTTCCCCCATCCACTCAATTGTTCAACAAATCTTTTCAAGTGCCCCCAGGGCTGAGCAAGGAGATGTGTTTGCGCCTCTGAAATTTGTCTGCGCCCCTGACCTGTCGGGCTTTGGTTCTGTTTTCCCAACGAGGAGGAAACGCCTGCTCAGGACTCCCTGGGGCTGAGGTGGGGTCGAAGGGGATGGTCAGTGTCACAGCTTTCCGACGGTGCACGCAACACCCACCGTCACTGCTCCCTTAGTCGTCAGTCTCTACAACCTAACAGCCGTGTTTCTTCAGTCTTTACACAATGTTGCTCGGTGTGTTCACTGTTGTTTATTTATTTAGTGCCCACCCCCATCCTGGCTAGAAAGTGAGCTTCATCCCTGAATCCTGGGCACGGGGATTACGGACTCAGCGTATGAACAGGTGTCCTCGCGTGGTTTCCATAGGAGACCTCAGCCTTACGCTCCGCACGAACCCACACAGACCCGTACGTTCCTGTCCGCTGGTGGGAGGCTGACCGTAGCGGAGGTCACTTCCTCGAGTGGTTGACTTCTGTTCTCTGCTGAGGAGCTCTTCAACGACTGACTTACAGCTCTCCGGGCAAAAAGCGAAGAAAAACCCTCCCACTGAACGTGAGTGCGGGATTTAAAGAAACGGGTGCATTTCCCCCGAACTTTAACCCTGGGTCAGGCTCACGGTGTCACGCACAGTAATTTTAAAACTTTCACAAAAGTATATAATTTACAACTAATGGGGAATAATAAAAAGTTACGTTTTTAATAATGAGTTCCTGGAAATTTTTATGAAGGCTTTTAAAACACTTAACCAAAAAAAAATTCAGCCTAATATAAAGTG